CGAGCCGCGGGAGAGTTGCGCTTGCTGGCGCTCGCTCTCTCTCAGCCCTGCCCCCTCCCTCCCGTTTTTAATACTGTAAAGCGACAGGAATATTTAACACGTTGTTGAACTTTAACTAACCCTGCTGCCTACGTTATTTATGCCAGGTCAATGTTCTCTGCTTCCTGCCAGGCGTTGTGGTGCAGCAGATAAGCCGAAGCGCTACAGATACCTCAGCTGGTCGCTGAGGGGAAAGAATATGCATTTTCTTTACTTTCTGTCAGGGTTGTATAAGAAGGCCGGTAGGAAGTGTTAGTCTGCAATTGGGATATCTACAAATCAAGTATGTGGGGAGGTGTAGCAAACACTTAAGTCTTACACTAGTGAAAATGATACTTCAAAGACTTCCCTTATGAATATGTTGAAGTACTCTTTTTATGATTAGCACTGAACACTAGAATACTCTGTGTTTTGTGTGTGTACGTGTGTATTCTAGAGTACATGAGTATTCTAGAAGAACAGATAAAGTTGATAATGTTGAGCACTACATGACAGACTAAACTATGTTATCTTTGTAGCACATGGTATATCTTTAGCGAAGACAGCTTCTGGAAAACTTGTCATAACATATGCTACCACATATGTCTCTGTGGGTAGCTAAATGGCTTCCTGATGTGACAGGAACTTGAAAAAGATGTGGATATGTAAGAAGGGAAAGAGTAACTTTTTCCCTTAACATGCCAGCCCGGTAGTGGAAGGTGTGCTGTAAGCAAGGTAGGTTACTGCGAGGAGCAGACTCCTGACACAGTGGCTCTCTGTTGCTGAGTCCAGCTCGAAGGACCTATACAGGCAGCGTACCTTCTTTTCGATCTTGGTGGCTTGGAAGTTCAGTCGTCTACCCCCAGCTCTGTTTTGCTCTGGCTTTACTTTCGCCTTAATAAGTTTTATGTAGCTCCTGTTGTGAGTTTGCTACTTGTGGAAGAAGCTGCTTTATAACTGTCATAGGTTGCCAAGTTACTACAGAGTAAACTGAGTAGCTCTCTACCAGTTTGTGTTGTGTTAGTCTAGGGGGAGTGAATTGATAATGCGTGTTTCCTGGTAGGAATGAAGAAACAAGGGATGATTTTGACCTTCTTGTAAGCAAAGTCTTGTAATTGCTTAATCATTCTGTCAGCTGGAGAAAGGATTAGCCCTTGGTTTGAACCTGGAGTCTTATGTGACTTGAGAGTGTTAGGCTTATTGCTAGCTAAATTATGCATTTATATATAGTAGCTGCATTTAAAGTCTGTTCCCCATCACTGCAGTCACTATTCATCGCAGCACATCACAACTTTGAAACTATGCTTCTCTAAAACTAGCTGAAAAGGGGAACCATATTGTTTCAGCAGCATGTGACTACTTAAACCTGAAGGTGGCAGCATCTATAATCTGTATCCAATAATGCCTAAATGCATCTTCAGATGTATCATGTGAGAAGAAAGACTGTTTGTTAGATTAGTTCTAAATTAAGTTGTATGCAATTATCCAATTCAGACAGACTGTGGAAACTCTTAACACTTAGTTGTAGCTTGTCAGATAGGCATGCTGTTCTGAAAATCCACATCTTGATACCAATTTCAAGCAAGATGCTGACTAGCTGAAATCTCCTTGTCCTGGAAAAAAAGTATTAGGATGGAGGATAAAAAAAGTCCTTCGAAGTGAATGAGGAAGCAGTGTAAGGGGTAGGAGGAGAAATGCCTTTCCCCTTTCTATGGAAAGGCTTAATTATCACGGACATAAATAACATATTCTTCCTGTGCCAGTACCTTTAAAAATGTTGGCAAAGTACTCTGTGATGCTTTTTTGGACATGTGTTACTTGTTTAAATCCTATATCCTCATTTTAATAGACTTTTTAGAGTTTTAAGTAAATGCAAGTCTGTTTTGTGCATTATGTAGCATCAAAAGACCAACAGCTGTTAAGATCGTTTACTTCACTAGTTAAAACAATTTACCTGTTGAGTTGTTTCTCGCCTTCCCTTCCCTTCTCCCCCAAGGGGGAACTAGTGCAGTGTTCTGCAACAGGTTTTTTGGGACTAGATATTTTGGTTTAATGTTTAGCTTTTAGCAATAAAGGGGTAAGACTGGTGCTAGCCAGAAGGCCAGCCAGTTCTCATACTGAGGTGCACAAAAGCAAACAGTGTTAAACAAGGAATGGATTCAGTTCCTGTCCGGTTGTCTGATCTAAGGACAGTCTGAACTCAGGTAATCAAGGGAGTTCATAACTTCTGGCTTCAAATTGTCTTGCATTTTAGTCTTGCACTGAATTAACATCAACGTTATGTGATCTGCTGTGAACAGTGGTGTTCTGTAACTCTGTAGTCAAGAAACTTTTAACTCCGAGATCCACATCTCCAACTGTGCAGTATTCAGGCCCACTGCAACACCAGCGCGTAGGCTGGGGGAATTTGTACTGTCTTGCCTCAGTAACTAAAGGATCAAAATAATTGGCTTAAGTAAAACACTCTTCGTTCTTGCAGTTCAACCTTGTAGTTTGTGTTGTTCCCCACCTGCCCCCAAACTGCACATCCTGACTGCTGATCAAGGTTCAGCTGTCTCAGCTGCACCTTCACATGCTCTCCCTGATACCTCTGCAAGCCCAAGGAGATGGCCTTATGCAAATACAGCTCACTAATATATGGAGGAAGTTTTCTTATTTGAGAACCTATTCTGAAAACTTTTTACCTTCTGTGGTTAATGTTTTTCCTCTAAACCTGTTCCCTTTATTTCTGTTTACTTGGTTCACTGATCAGCATTCCTTCATCTTCTCTTCCACTGCTTGCTTGTGAATGGCTCAGGGTCTCCTATCAGATACCTCAATGCAGCAATAATAATGACAAACAAGTAAAAATGGGTTGGAGGATAACAGCTACTCCAATGTTCTTTAAACCTGTGAGAATTCAAGTGTGGTTTTCATTCTCTCATGAAGAGAAGAATGCTGTTTGTTGCTAAATACGTGGCTGCTGACTAGACAATTTGTCTCTGAATCAGCAGAGGTGCCTGGATAAGAGTGGTAAGCTTACCCGTTGAGTGATGAGCTGCTCATTAAAACACTGATTCTCTACAGAGAAGAAAAATGGATGATTGTTAAGAGTCAGGCCTGTATGTTCTTTGGCCTCAAGTCTGAGACAAATAAGACTTTCACACTGCAAACAGTGGTGGAAACGCGTTATTGAAATTAAAAAAGGATGGACATTCTTATTTCTTTATAAGAATAGTCTCTCTTTGAGAGTTTACAAAATAGGATTTATAATCAAAAGCTGCCTGAACTGATACATAACTCCAGTTTCCACACTGTTCTACTGTTGCTGATGGGTGCTGTAGTGTCTCTGTGGGAGGCCTGTTTGAGAGTGGTGGGAGGGGTGGTAGGAGAGCCTTTAGGCCCTAAAAAGGGAAGTAGGCTTGGGGGAAGCAGAGACCCAAAAAAAAAAAAATAACCCACCCATGTGATCAGTGTCAGCTCTTAACTCCTCACTGGAAGAAAAGAGTGAGTGAGTGCTTGTGTGTGTGTGGAGATGCTGGGATAAATTAGCGTCCATGCTCCTGAAGTTCCCCTGCCCTCCTCTTTCCCAAATATGTTCTGTTGTTGCCAGATTGAAAGTCTTGGATTTGGAACTTAGTTTTTCCCAGGTTGCTAGGAAGCCTTGAGCTGACTGATGCAAGTTCACCACTCTAGCCTGATAACTCAGAGCTGTTACTCTGATGTACTTCATTTTTTATAGAAAGTAATATAAGCTGCAGCTGAATCTAAAATGGATAGACATAAATTGCATCCTTTATTCCTTGTTTGTTGAGCAGGGTGCAATGGAATATGCCTCAGAGCTACATTTTGTAAGATGCTCAACACGCCTCCCTTAGAGGAGAGAGTAAGGTTGCTAGTGTACTGAGAAAAGAGCATCTATTTTTCATTTTTTGAGGTGAATGCTGATTTGAGGACTCAAGTCCAGATTGCAACCTTTGCCCTGAAATAATGTAAATATGTGGAATAATGCTTCAGGCACTGTTTTATCTGGACTATTAACTAGCTTTTAGTTTGGACTGAGACTAGTTA